CTGCTTAGTAATATACCCCATACCCTCAAAAAGTTAGCTGCAGAAACTGCACGGTCATCTTAAGTTCAAAGAATATATTTTGAAAAATACTGTTAGACATGACTTTCAAAAGTCTGTAACAGATAATAAAACTGTCAAAAGCTCTTTTTATTTTTCTATGTACTAATAAAAGGGAAGGGAGGGGAAAAAAGCAGCTGGAGACAGAAAGATTGTTTGATATCGCTTCTGGAAGTTTTTGTCATGTTTCCACCTTGGAGTACTGCTGTACATTCTCATACTGCGAACCTGCATGGTGTGAGGCAGTTCAGCCACATCCTGCACTGCAGCATGAGATTGCTTTTTGCCTAGAACTGCTTTATTTCCTAGATTATTCCTTCTAAGCTTGCAGGGTTCTGTTCTCAGTTGTTTTGCGCTTCAGAAGGCTGTTTGTCTATCACAACCACATCAATGCTGTGATGTTGAGAGGACAGAGACAGTTGTGACAGTAGTCATTTCTTATCTTACCTGGCTTTACAGCAACAGTCATATAAGAAAAAGCCTAATACGTTTTACCTTTTCAACCAGAATGGGAAAGAAGCAGAAGAATCAGTAACTGAAAATGGAACAGTGAGAGTCAGAAGCCAAAAGGCAGTGGCTTGAAGTAGTGGAAAAATGCTACTACCTATCACTCTGTTTAGGTGAAGCACCAAAGCAGTGAATCATCTTGAATGGCTACAGAAATAGTTGTTTTGCCTACACTGGGTGATCTTGACATGGTCCCCTTTAGCCGTAGTGCTGTACTGAACCATTTAGAGGAGAAACATATTCAGAATTCCTTGCCGCTCATTTCCAAATTTGAGTGATTTTTGTCTGTGGAATAAATTGGATAGATTATCATTATATTACAGGAAATGTGTAGTAAACCATGCATGACACACTTTCTAAGTCTATCACTTGATAATAACCAATGACCACTTATTGTCTGCCACCAAATCCTTCAGGCTGGTTTTCCCAGTCAAGACAACCCCTACTATGATTCTTTTCTTCCTTCACGTTACATAGAATTTGTTGCTTCCTTTCAAGTTACTATTAAGTTTTTCATTTTTTTTTTTTTTTCCTCCCCCAATTATTTGGTTTTATTTGTTTGACTATTTTCAATATATTCTTCACTTTTGGTGCGAGGGCAGTGATGTAAAAGAGAAGTTCTGTATGCCTGTAGATAATTATGTTAAATCGGTCAATCTTCCAATATCCTTTTTCTCCAATGTTTACCATGTATCTAAGGCCTTGAGATGCTCTGAAATGCTGCTGTGCTCTGATCCCAGGTGTGCTGAGGCAGGAAAGTTCTCTGCAGGTGATTTGTCTGTGAATAGCCTCTTTGCATGGATTGATGTCCACATGTAGAGCAAGAGTTGGAAGCCAGTCAACCAAGTGGGGATTGCTAATTATTCTTCATAGTTCTGTTTCAAATTTTGGGGGCAAATTGTAGAAACCTGTGCTGTGCCTAGTTCAGAAAAAGGTTAATGGGAACATCCAGTGCAGTTCCATGGATTGCCACTTGGGGTTGGGCTGTAAGGGAAGATTGCAAAAGTTTTGTGAGAACTATTTATGTGTTCCCTAGAAGCATGGAATCATTCTGTAAGTCCTTGTCAGCTGGCCTGTTTTTAATAGAAATTATGGAAAGCGTGATAGAGCTTGTGTGTCTTTTCAAATCCTACAAAGTCCTGCCTACGTACTAAAAGCAACGTGACAGATATTCACAGCACTCCCACATTCCTCCCCTGCTATAATTAATTATTCAGTATCTTTCCACCTTCGCAACATGTGTTCTTTCCTTTTCTTAGCTAGCTGCAGATACAAAATTCTGTGCCAGCACGAATCTAAATCTGGGCCATCGTGTTCAAAGAATTCTGAGTCTTGAAGGTCTCAAAAAATGGATTGTGTCAGGGTAGCAGCAGCCTGCTGCCATTGAGGCTCTTGGGCTTAACAGTTACAGAGAAGCAGCCACAACTACTGCTGTGCTCAGCAACAAACGTATTTATGGGCAGAACGCGAGAGCGCCGTGCATAGGTTGCTGTGGGACAGAAAGGAAAGTTACTGCTGGTTTATCTTGCCAGATTTGCTATTTTGAGTTCTGATTTCTAATAATTTGTGTATTGATCTAAGAGTTTTGGCTGCATGTTAGCAATGTGTATTTTAAGTTCCCTTTTATTTCTGTTTTAAAAAAAATTGAAATATTTTACAAATGGGTTTCCTTTGATTTGGCTATAATCTTCTAGACACGGTGTACAGAGATTGTTTGATTTTGGTAAGGTCTTTATAAGTAGTTTTTAGCATCAAGGAGTAAGTATTGTCTAATGCAATGTTAGAAAAAGCTATTTTAAATCATACGGATTGGAGGAAACTCCAAGAAGACTTCTTTTTTGACTATTTATAGACTATACGAGGAGTTACTGAATATTTCTGTTGCATAGTAGAGAGATAATTGTGTAGATAAAACCTCCTCAGGTTTTATAGGCGGTTACTTCAGGCAGTCATTCTTTCGCAGAGAATGAAAAGATTCGAGTTTCATTCTTCAAATAAATGTCTTGGGACTGAAAATCCAGCTGATGTGGAGACTGAACTCAAAATTAAATAAAAGAGAAATTTCTTTTTAAACAGTGATTGAATTATTTTCTTTTTCATTAAGAGGAAAAAATTCAATTAAAAATCTATCTCAATTAAAAAAATTAAAATTAAAAATAGCATGGAAATGTTTTAAAATCAAAACATTTAATTTGAAAAAGCCACGTGAATTTTTTTTTTCTTCTTTTGGACCTTTTGAAAGAGGTTGTTTTCAAGCTGGCTGAAAATTTATGAATAATTTAAGTTAATAGGAATTTTTTTTTTTTCCATGATTACTTATCTGAAAATTTTTGTTTCTCTCCAAGCTTCAAAGGAATTAGAACAGAATGTCTATATTCTCTAAAGCAAAGTCTTGTATAGCTTGGAAACATTGTGTAACTGCTGTATTAACTGGTGGAGATATCCATAAATATTTTGTCAGTTTAGTCAAAAAGCATTTGGAAAGAAAGGAGTTTGGTTTTGTTTACTTTGCAGCATTTGTCTCTGTCACTGCTTTCCCATGTCTTTTTAATTCATTCATGAACATCATTGAACATTTCTCTATTTTTTGAACATTTGGATTTATGTACTGAATTTCTGTGCTAAAGCTGTCATTCTCAGGATCATAAACAGTACAGTAATGGATTTAAAGTAGAAAATTGCTACATCTAAAACAACTTTGAAATTAAGTTTGTTGGGAACTTTTAAACTTATAGAAATAATTTAAAACATGCTGAGATTTTAAGAAACATCGAGAATTACCATTACGTAAAAGCAGGGCTGTAAATGAGTAGCCTACATTTGCATGTTCTCAACTGAGTGTGCACCTAATGAGATACAAACATTAAGAGATTTAAGCTCCGAACACTTATAAAAACATTGCCATTTAATGGTAGAATAAATTCAGACTACAGAATTCCACTGCAGCCAAAACTTTTTATCCTTTTGAAGTGACTGGTAAGAGATGTGATTTCAGAAAGTTTTATTCTTTCTGTTCAAATTCAGTTTATTACATGCTGACAGCTCTAGATATAATTCTTCTAAAAATGAAGATGTTATCAAGTAACTGAAGAAGCCTGTGATACTGACTTCAGGTGTTAATGAATTATGTTTTCACTGAAGTGTGGAGTTGCAGAATATTCATTAACACACAAAAAAAGTGATGCTATACATTTAAAGTCATCTAAATCGTACTGATACAATATGGCTCTTCAGGAACTCATATTTCTATGCATTCTGTGTACAGTGTTGGTAGTTAATAAAGAAAAAATAAGGAGATAAACATTTTCAGACATTAAACATGCTATTACAGTAAGTTAGAATAATCTGTGCTTCAACTTTAAAATGATTTTGTTCATATTAATTTTTCATTGTGTTGAATATGGAGTGAGAGATTTCTCTCTTGAACAGAGACCACTGTACTCAAATTTAAAACTAATAATTTAGGAGAAGATATTGTGTGAAAGATAAGTGTGAAAGCACAGTGAGATGTAATAGGAATATTGTTACTATTATTCATTGTGAGATTAATTATTGTGTATGGTTTTTTTTTTTTCTTGTCACATCTATTGAGTAAAGTCTGTCCTTAGCCTTGGTTTGTATATTTGAGTATTGTGAAGTTGTTGGTGCTGTTTTGTATATCTCAATAAAATTATTTTTTCTGTTGAAGATACTTTTTGTTGAATTCAGTTCTTTCTGTTGAATCTCCTTTGCTTGCATCTGACCTTTATTTACGTTGATTTTGCTTCATTTTTCATTTACCATGCTGTTCAGTTTTTGGATGCCAGGAGAACAAAGGTTTGTCTACTATTTGCAGTCTTTTTTTTTTTTTCAGAATTCAATATTGCTTACTGTGGTTTTTTTTGTTTGCTCACTAGAGATACAGTAATCCTGTTTACTAAAGCATATTCATAGCTTTAGTTGCCAAAAGAAAAAAACAAAACCAATCAAGTGCTCCCCCTTGCTCCCCACCAAGATCCCTTCAGTTACAGCGAGTGCTTTGATTCACTTTATAACTCATCTGCTGAGCACCATGCAGGGCAGAACCACCTGTAGTCTATGAAGCAATTTAGAAAACAAGGAATACTGAGTCTTTCAACTTCGTAGACACATACTGACTGTACAAATGGATGTGTCACTGCCTTGTGTTTGGGTTTGTTGTTTTTCTTTGCTCTTCATTTTATGTGTAGCTGACCCTGTGTGTGTTGTCATTTATTTTTTCTACAAGCACTTGAAGGACATCATTATAAACGTTGTCACATGCATTTGTGATTTTTTTTTTAAAGGTCATTTAGTATACTTCCATTGTTAATGCTAATAAATTTTTATAGAAGCATACAACAAAAGTTCAATGAAGTCTAATTCTGCAGTCAGATCCTAAATTCTTTTTTTTCCTTTTTTTTTTCTGTGTGTTGTAGCATCTGCAAATGACAATCCAGGCTCTTCAAGATGAGCTTAGAACCCAGAGAGACCTTAATCATCTTCTCCAGCAAGAAAGTGGAAACCGAGGTGCTGAGCATTTTACTATTGAGCTGACAGAGGAGAATTTTCGAAGACTTCAAGCAGAACATGATAGGCAAGCTAAAGAGCTTTTCCTGTTAAGAAAAACTCTAGAAGAAATGGAGCTAAGGATTGAAACACAAAAGCAAACACTAAATGCTAGAGATGAATCAATAAAAAAGCTTCTGGAAATGTTGCAAAGTAAAGGTTTGCCCTCTAAAGGAATGGAAGATGACAATGAGAGAACTCGAAGGATGGCAGAAGCTGAATCTCAGGTTAATCATTTAGAAGTGATATTAGACCAGAAGGAGAAGGAAAACATACATCTTAGAGAGGTAAGGAAAACTCATTATTTATTTCTTTAAAGGATAACGTATTTACTGCAGGTCTGGAAATAAGTATCTGAGTGTTTTCTTTTTCTGCTTTCATTGTTTCATAGAATAAGATGCATGTATTTTAAATCCAAATTAAATAAACAAGTGGACTAAGAAATTATGGAAGAAAAGTAATTGTGCCATTTGGGACTTACTGTCTTTGACTTCATGTGCTTTGCATACATTCTAGATTTTTTGCATTTTGACAAATCAATATTTAGCAAATCAAGGTGATGAGAACTATCGAAGAGACATTTAGCACCTTTTATTGCTATAAAATAACTAGTAATGAGTACATGCTACATTTTGTTTTTATACCACTTGTGTTTAAACACTTGAAAAGTGTTTTCAAACATTTTGCCTTCTGTAGCCAGACTTTATCTAATTTATTTTCTTGTGTGGTATGCAACATAATACCACCACATTAACACACGGGAGTGATGGCTGTGCTGTGCTTCGGGAGGTTTGGCCTCAAGCCCGCGTTACTTGCTGATGAATTTTGAAACTAGATTTGGGAGAAGTATGATTGAAAGAAAGTCTGCCTGGTTGTCAAGCCCATTTGCCCTTCTTCATCCTAGCAGCCTCTGAAGCTGATGACAGGGAAATGAGACAGTATGTCTTCCTCAGAGAGAGACCTTGTTGCTTCCTACTGGGAAAGGTGACAACTGCATAGGTAGAATACAAACTACTACAGTGAGGAGAATCAGGACATCCAGCTCTATTTCCTTAGAAATTCAGGAGCAGCAAAGTCTGATTGAACTACTGGTTTAGTTAACAAAAAAAACCAAACAACCACTAATTTGCCTGATAAGTCAAAACGTGAATAAAATTAGTACAAGAACACAGAAAACTATTATTAGTTCTTGGGTAAGGAATAGCTATCTACATCTACAGGTTTTTTTTTTTTTTTTTTCCTGTGGATGAACAGTTTGAGGTTTCAGCTACTTTGTTAGTAAAAAGGAATTCTGAAAACCCAGTGATAGATTTATTTTAGATTTCTTTTTCTTCCTTTTAATCTGAAATATGTATTGGGGCCTCAGTTGTATCTGGAGCCCTTCTCAATCTTGGAAACACTGGAAGATTTGCTAGGCACAATCATAGATTTAAAGATTTTTAGTGAAGATGTGGATCCTCCTGGGTCTTTTCTCAGGCAAAACGTTCATTAAAAAGTGATGCCACCACTTAGTGAAGTCTGAAAGTCAGAGGATTCTGAAAGGACTTGCATAAGGAATTAATGATACTGTATTTATTGTAAGAAGAGTTGTGGGAGAAGTGCTTAAACCATCAGATGGGTTTCTGGATTAAATCTGGTTTCAGAGAAGGACAGTCTGTTTCAAACATGGATGATCTGCTGTATGTTAACTGTTTTTTGTTCTGTGATTGTGCCTCATCTATGGCATCATTATCACATACATTTGTGATTACTAATTCAGGCACATCCTGGACATGAATAAAGCAGAAATTTGAAGAAGGTTTTTCATTTGCACAGTCGTCCAGCTCAGGAATGGCCTTCCAAGAGCAGTTAGAGAAACAGGACTAAATAGCGCATGGAAAGTAGACAAGATATTTCATAGCTCCCACTGGGTTGCTCTCAGGAGCCAGGAAAAAAATTGTTTATCTCTAAATTTATATTGAGGATGAAGTAATTATCTTTCCTCTAGAACAAGTGTACAGAGGGGTTTGCTGGAGTTTCTGTTTATGGCATGCTTATGATATGCCTTGGAGACTTGTCAAAGTTTAAAATTTACTGTTTGCTGGTCAGAATCTCTGTGTCAGCTTGGGAACTATCTATTGATTTGGGGATTTTGGGTAAGAATTTCCTTCATGCTTTAAGAATCTGAAGCTTTGTGTGAAATTCCCTCTCTCCAGCTCTGCTCCTGAGGCATGCTGTTTTATGGGTTTTGATTTGTTTGCCTTTTGCTGTCTTGTGACTGGAAGTTGTCTACACAGTTTAAGGGAATATTAGAAATTCAGTATTTAATTTTATTCATTTGTTAAAAAACACTGTTCCTCTTTTGACCTTTGTGTAGTGCAGTGAGTCTTTTTCTGCTGTGCTTACTGGAATTGCTGTTACCGCATGCAGTCTTCATCCTACAAAGTACAGTTTTCCAGCCTGATAAATTAGTGTGCTGAATCTTTTGCAGTAGTCTTCTTAGTGGATTCCATTTTTCAACAAGAGGTTGCAGGTTTTCAACCTAACTGTAAATGCCATCTTTTCCCCAACTCCCCTGGGAATGCTGTGACAGTAAACCAAAACTTGGAAGCATTTTCAATCCCTCTCAGGAATGATTTAGTATTCACTCAAATTTCATTTTTACCTGCCTTTAACAAAATATTTGTTGTTACAGAATTTAAACTAAAATATTCTGATTTCTGTACTTTTACAGGTTGAGATACTGAGCTCATATTGAGTATATTCCTGAAAAACTAATATATTGTCCTCTGTAACGTAATGTTTGATCAAATCCTGAAAATGTGTTTTTTAATTAGCTTTGCTATTATTGTTCTTACAAGTTGCTATTATTACTGCATGTGAAGTATGCATGTTACCAGAAACCAGTATTCTACTGTCTTGGTTCAAATTAACATGCAGATATCCAAGAATCATGTGGAAAAGGAGAAGAAAAAAAAAAGCTTTGTTTCTTTTTCTTTCCATGAATAGTTGTAGAAGTTAAAATAGTTGCCTCAGAAGATATGGAATTTCTCCAAACTGTAGATTATATTTCTTGGAGAAACTGCAAAGAAGAGAATAGAAATAGCTAACGTACCAGAGGCATAAGAATATGCCTCTGGAATATAAACCAGTCCATTTTTCCTTGTTTTCATATTATTATCAGATTTGGGGTGATTTGGGGATGTTAGCCACTTGCCCCTCATATACTATGCCTTTCTGCAGCTTACAGTCTAGTGCATCTTCAAACTTTTATTTTACAAAGGTGAGCTTCTAATTATGTGTTTACTCAAGTTCTCTTTGAGAGCTCTAGGAATGGCAAATTTGAGCCTTATTACACTGGAGGAAACTTCAGCTGAGGTTGGAATCCTTCTCTTACAGGAATCGCAAAGAATGTCTGTGCTGGTGAGGTTCATTAAAACAAACTTATTGGGGAAAAAAGCTATGCAAAAAATGTGATTAAATTCCTTTCTGTGTATTACGGAATTTGTAATACAGGCACAAGAATAACTAGATTCCCAGACTTGTGGTAGTTATAGCAAAACTTTCATTAGTTTCTTATCACAAAGAAAGAAAAAATAATCGGATTAAATAGCATGAAGTGTAAGCACGTTTCAGCTTCAGCTTTGAATATACAACCTACTAAGGAGAGAATACAGAGCTCCTCTCCATGGTTTCTGAGAGCATCTGTATACTCAGTTTCCCTTCATTGAGCCAGACTGAATCTTTTGTCTGTAAGAAATTCAGCTCACTGAAGTATTTTTACTAGCCTTTTCTTAAGATAGCTGGATTTTATTGTTATTTTCTGAGACAAAATGATATAGCATATGCTTGGTAAGGAAACTGTTCTTCAGGTAACAAAGTAGTCTTTTCAAATACACATACGTAAGTAGAGGGACATTCTTGGGCCTGGCAATCTTCGTTTGTACGTTAACAGGTGAAAAGGAAATCTGTCTTGAAGCCATGATGTCATACCATTGTGTCCTTATGCTCAGAAATAAGTATCCTGTATATCACGAAATATACATTTCTGTCATTAAAGATGCCTGCCTTTTATTACTTACATTGATTATCAAATGAATTTTCTAGGATTTTAAATAAACATTTTTTTCTCTATAATTTTGGGAGAACTGTAGGTAATCCGGTGATTTTATCACGTGGAAATCTAGCACAGATGTTTGGTATTACTTTTTTTTAAACATAGTGACCACACATTATTTACCTTAAGTACCATTAAGTATTTTTTTATTATTGCTATTAAAAGCTTGCCTTAGGCAAAGTCCCACTAAATCTCTAGTAAAGTCAAATGTTAAAATTCCAGCAAGTATTTTATTATATATACATACGCATAGATTACACATGCCTTCTCTATATAACATACAAATTCACTAAAATGGAATCTGAGATCATATAGGATTTTCTATATACATTTTAACTCTTATCTTGCATGTATTCTTAAAATAATGTTGTTGTACATGGTTTAAAGCCATGGTCTTTTCTTTCTGCACTTAGAAAGAAGAACACAGCTTTATTATAATTTAAAGTGCACTTTTAAACTTTCAAGGGTTTTTTAAAACTTGCTCTATCTTTGAACTCAGCTTGGTCAAATAACGATGGTTGATGATAGGATTTGAACTGCCATCATGAATTACTTATTGCATGTTTTTAAAGTTATTAATGGAGTAAAGTTCTTTCTTCCACTGTGAGTAGAACAGATGCCTTGCAGACTTTTGGTGTTTACTGTAAATGTCTTACACTGGAGCCAGTAGTAATTTACTAAGGAAATGCTTTATCGACACCAAACATTTCTTCCCTGTAGTTAGTTACACAGATTAACAACCATTCTAGACTGAGTGTCTTTATTAGGTTCATTAGTGCCTCTTTCCTTTTATTTCTCCTGGCTCAGCTCAAAATATTAATCTAATCAGTAGTTATAAAGACAATCATTTTCTATCAAAATATCAGTAGTAATGTGTTTTTTAAGGTGACTTCTTAGGTATACAGAAGGACTTTGCAGTCACACCAGGCAAGAAAAAGTAGACAGAAGCTGATTATGTTCTAGAGAACAAATACACTTCTAAGGTAGCCCATTCAGGTTTTGTTATTTCCCATAATATTCTTGCTGGGGTGCTTGGTTGCAATAGTTTTTAAAAGTCCGTGTGGAGGACATAAAGCTTTTTGCTGACAAATTGTTTTTTTCAATTGGGACATGAAAACATCACCGCTAGTTTGGAATCTAGAATATGAAAAAAATATCAGTTTGAAATGAACGTTGATACTTGAGAAGCAA